CAGGTTCAAAGTTGTAAACATTGCACAATATAAACAATTAAACCCCCTTCTCTTTTGACAACTTCAATCAAACCAGACAGGCTCTATGACACACGATTTCATAAACTTCCATAACTCCGGACAGAAATTAACTCGTAGTTAAGGGTCAAATTGGTAGTCTACAGGTCGAATCCAGATAGGAAAAAAATCACTTAATACTGTAATATTCGTCTGCGGGGGAACCAGGACGTGACGTTATTGTGTGGTAGGCGCCGTGCAGTCATTACGATCATTACTGTATCATTATGGCCAGTAAACGGTAATGAGCCTGCACCCAGTGACCGAGGGTCAGTCGTTAGGTCCATTGTTGGGGCTGAGTGACCAGCAAAGTACAGGTCCCTAAGTGGTCACTTAAACGCTCCTGTCTTGTCCGTTGACGTAAGAGGGGGAATTACTGACCGCTGCGAACGCCGTTTCCTTTAAAACGTTGCCATTAGAGTATTATGCTTTTAATGGAGGGGAAATGTCGATCCCTGTCGACGTCTCGCACTCACTGGGGTTAAATTTTTAAAGCAAATGTTGGTTGTTCAATGGCTTAAATCGTTCAGTGACATCATTTGGTACTAAATCAGTACAGTTTTTTTGGGTGTTTTAACGCGCCAGAAAAGTGAGAGCCCATCGTCCTGCCGAAGCACTTAGGGCGAGGAAGTCGGTGCATAAGTTTGAATAATTTCCTTCGTCTCTGCAGGCGCCAAGGCTCTTAGAGCGGGCATTTTCTTTGCTCTGGTTAGATATAAAGATTGATGTGTATGGCACCGAAAATGTACGGAAAAATGGCCCATATCGCGAGGCCAAACAGCTTTAAGTAGGCTTGGGTACTTTCAAGAAATATTTTAATGCCACTTCTCTGCTAAATGTTACATACATCGCACACACCGACGCTGAGCTGGGGGAGTGTTACATCTTTAGAAGATAGAAAGCAACGCAATTTCTGTGGAATGTGGCCAAATCCCCCAAGTCAATGCTCTTCAGAGGAGAAGCAGTTGCAAACAAGATGTGACAAGAACGACGTTTCACCTATATATTCCCATCCCCCACAGTAAAGACTCGAAAAAACACGCTTTTAAAAATACATCACAGTTTGGAAGGAATGCGCTTTATTTCTCCCGAACTTGTTGTTTCTCCTCAGTCTCCCGGCTTCTTCTACCCTGAATGTCAAAAGTCACCGAATACTCGCCTCCATTATAGAAAAGACTGTTGTTATAACGGAGATGAGTTACAAGTGACGTAGGAGATTCAGGGTAGTTTTCCCAGAGCGCGATCTTCTCCGCCCGGCCCCTTTTCTCCGTGAGCGTCCAGCATCACCTTATACCATAAAACTGCCCACACTCCGAAATGGAAGCTTTTAAAGAGTTATTAGGCTCCGGTTTGGTTTTTAGTTGCCGTGAGATGAATAGCAGGCAAGCGGTCTTTTACGCTACATAAACCTCGCTCATCAGATCTGGGTTTGAAACCATAAATCAAGCGCAGGACTGGGTTTGTTTACCACCGGGTTATTACTGAGTGTCCTGGAGAAGAAAAAGATTAAAAAAAATAGGAACCTCTTCCCCGAGGGGTATCTATATTCAGTGTCTATAAGCGGATTAGACGGCAAGCTTTGTAGTGGGGTCGCCATATTTGACTCTCGGACTAGTTAGTCCACTGTTCTGAATGCGGCCTTATACAGACCCGTGAACCAGAGGGTTATACCGGACGATCTTATGTGCAGCCGTGTAAAAGAGGGTATCAATAAAAAGATACTGGGTTTATTGCCGTTATGTGAGAAAATAGTGCTGTGATTGGCAATGACGCATTTCCACACGATCATTACCTAGCCTCTCTAATCATCAGCGAGATCTCCCCACACGTCCAAACGCATTACAGATCAACCCCGCCTTCTGTCATCGGCGAATCGATGGCAATCAGTCATCTTAAAACGCTATTTTTACGGGGGATGGTTGCTAAAACGAAGGGAACAGAGAAAAGGAGTATGAATGCGATCTTAATCAATCATTTGAGAAAACGGGACTTTAGTGGAACTCTGGTATAAGATTCCTTTTTCATCAATCATGTATACCACAATACTACTTTGGATGAACGTGGAGGATTACGGCGGGGAAAAATGTCGAAAACCCCCAAGAGCAAAATCACAGAAATTCAGATTGCACGGATTTTGGTTTTTATACCGAACAAAGAAGGAAAACCGATAAATGCAGTGTCGACCAACTATCGAATCAAATCATCTTCAAATTGTCTTGTTAAAATAGAGTGGATTAGAGACGCTTAAAGACAGATAAGGACACGAGGCGTTCATCGGAAATTAAATTAACAAAACCTCATGTTGCAGAAAGAAATGGTGGAAGTGGCAATGCACACCACCTGGTTCTCAAACAGTGTTTTTAGTAGTTCTAACTAGAAATTTCTATAGGAGGAAAAACTTAGTTTGCGATTTCAACACAAGTAGACCGTTATGCGAATGAAAGATACCGCACCGCTGAAAACGCTGCTATCAAAACTCAAATCCACTGTGATTTTTTCCTGATATAGGGGAGGGGGGGAGGTATAAGACATCCTTCTAGCACCGAAAACATCTAGTCGTCTGCCGCAATGGGGAGGGCCGACCCTTGCCCTGAAAATAGTAAATTTTATGAAGGAAAGATCTTTCGACCTTAATTCTTTGAGAACTTTCACAGGGAATTCAACCTCGAGGCGGATTCTGCTCCTAACCTATTATTAGTGAATACTTCATGTGTAGCCTTTTTGTATTTTGCGTTGTCATATTATGTATAAAAGTACTGAATCGTCATTCGGTGCAAGTTTGAATCGTAGAGGTGATATTGAAAGAAGTCACTGTGTACATACACATTTTTCCATAGTGCATAGCCACCCTTCAATAGGGTCATAGAGGGAATTTTTTTCGCCAGGTATTTATTGATATTTCTCTGAAAAAAATCTCCCTGTTGCCCTCTGGAAGAAAGTGAAGCTTCGCGCCGAATTAGAAAACGTGTCAATATATTACCAAGCAAATTCGTTGGTTCGGAAATAAAATGGTACTTGACAGAAATCTTTGGATGTGAAAATTCCTTTTCTCCACTACCTTATCTTCTCTTAAATCCCCGCTGGCACGAGAAATAGTGCTTCTATTTTAATACCATTCTCTTGAGAATGTCAGCTCTTAGCTGAAAAAAAAAAAATAAAGATTTTTTAAAGTGCTTCTTTTCGCTTAAATAGTGTCAGCTACTGAAGCAGAATACTGATAAGCCGAAGAGTAATTTTCTTGAATTCAAAGGGAAAATTGTATGGGAACATGACGTCCATTGTTAGCGTAATGTTTCTTTATGAGAGGCAATTACTGGTGTAGCGAACGGAGGAATTTTTAAGTAACGATTGGCTTCGCTGTGATTGGCCTCCAACCATTTTCATTGTATGCATAGGTGTATGATACTTACAGAGAAACGACACAACGAAGAGAAAAGTATTTACCTTTATAGTGTAGAGAGAGAGAGAGAGAGATTTCTTCTATTCTTTTAAGAAAGATTTTCTTAAAAGAAAGATTTTAAAACAAACAGGCTACAAAAAAGCTCCAAAATAATATTTTCAGATATCAAAAAAAAAAAAAAAAAAAAAAAAAGTCGGGTGTCACTCTCGTCTCTTCCCAATGCCTTTCACCCGCCTCTTCCTCAGCCGTGATTACGTCAAAGATAAGCGCCCTCTGTCGGCTGGAGCACGCTGTCACAAACAAAATGGTATCAGCCGCTGATAACACCTTGTGTGGTGACACGGCCGCTCTGTCACGCTCACACGGGATTGCTTGGTGACATTTGACAATTTGACTGATTGTTCTGTGTGCGGCCGGCTGATAAGGGTGATAACCCGGAGACACGTTGTCTGGAGGGGAAGGAAAGGTGGGGGTGCGGGGGGGGGGGGTGTGGACTTAATAACCGGTACTCCAATATTTACGGCTACGAAACTCTGCAATAAAGGATTACAATATAAGAACTGATAGTGCACAGAGTGGAAGAGGGTTTGACCCCCCTTTTTCTCTCTCTCTCTCTCTCTCTCTCTCTATCTCTCTTTCTCTCAGTGTGTGACGGTGTTTTTATGTTGTCTGTTCACCCTAGGATTTCAAATTCATGGACCAGGGGGGAATAAAAAAAAAACACGTTTGCACGCAATAGCTTGGGTGATAAACGGGATTGCCCTGAAAATAAAACTTAACAATAATTAAGAACACAAATCTCGATGACACTTCTGATGGAAAATGAATTTTGTAATTGTTCAAGGTTTTGCCCAAAGGTAGCCTGGAAATAACGAAGTCATTAATCTAAAAGAATCCTGAATAACTATGGCAGTTACAGCTTGTTTTACTACATAATGCAACCACTATTTTTGTCATTAGGCTTTTTGAATTATCCATGACAAATAAGTCGCACACGAACTTTGTTTCTTAGTTCACGCCAATATTCATTTAACTAATGAAATTTGCTTATTACAGTACGACACAAACATAGTAATGGGGGTTGACTGCAGTCACGGGTAATACGCGCCGACCAGACCCTAATGAATCGCGTGTTGCAATGCCTGGCACGTGTCATTGGGCATTATTGTATTTCGAAACAGTGATTAGGCCACGCTACTGTCTTAATGGATGAATGTTGCTCAAAACAATGCGTGACTGACGAACATACAGGGGTCATCAATTTTACATGCTTACACGCATTTGCTAATGCATTTATGACATTTTTTGAATTGGTTCCAACATCGATGAAGCTGGTTCTATCTTTGTCTGAAAAAATTCCCTGGCTGTCATTTAATGTGGCGTGGCATTAAATCTTAGGATGCATCTTTCAAAACATTTCAGAAAACGCTTGTTTTAAATTATGCGATTCCTAAATTTCATGTAGTATCAAACACCATGTATTTTAATTTTGACGTGATTCATTAGATTGTGTTATAAATGTTGTTATTTTTTTATATTTTAGGTGAAGTGCGGTGCTACTGCAATGAACCCCATTGTATAGCTACGGGCTACATGTGCAAGTCCAGGGGGCAGTGCTTCACGCAGCTGATGTTTGACACGACGCTCTCGCGCTCCGTTCACGGATGCATGGAGAGTTTGTCGCAGTCAGCAAGCGCCGTCTGTGATCGGCCAAGGGACGTTGCAAGGGCGCAAAACCCAGCCACCCAAAACCCAGATATGCCAATTATCATGTGCTGTAAAGAGGATATGTGCAACTACATGGACAGTTTGGACATCAGCATTCTCGTCAGTACGAGAACTAACGAGACAACTTACAAGCAAGGTAAGATTGTGCCATGAAATTGAAAAAATGTTTTGAAGAAAAAAATAATTAATTCAGCATCTAAGCCGAGGGTTCCACGAAGTAAATAACAAGGAAGATGAAGTTTGGATTCCACCTAGAAAAAATATGACTTGCACTAAAATAAAAAGGTTAATCTATTATTTCTTATGTGGAATAAGCGTCGTTTCTAGACACATTTAACCTTTTCTAGGAGATATGGGCTCTAATTTATAGTTGCCACCATCGGTAACGCAAGTTCGTCTTCAGCGAAAAGTAGGCCACGCACGTACACGAAGGCGCTTGCACCTATTTTAAGTGCATAATTGTGCCTTTGAAGTCAAGAATACCGCTTTGTTCTTGATACAAAGTATATGTATTGCTATCTCTGCGCACTCCTTGAACAACACACGGCAAAACTGCACTTAGCGGAGTCTTAATTATACAACAGCATTTTCAGACTCGTTAATTGCACTATTGTTCTCACGCAACAGCAACGTCGTCACGAAACACGGCGTCTGGTAAATTCTGCAGCTATTTGATTACGTATAACGTTCATTAATGTATTAAAACACAATTAGGTAAGCTGACGCCGACAAATTGATGAAGATAATTGAGAAACAAATCAGTGCACAATGTTTGAACCTTGACGACAGTTCCCTTGGTGATTCCTTGCTTGCATTAATGGCCCGCCAATAATAATAATAATAATAATAATAATAATAATAATAATAAGTTAATTGATAACACAGACTTGCAGCAAGCCTCTCTGTTAAAAAAGATTGTTGAAGAGTAAATGCGATTATTGGTCGCAACCATCTAGGCCTACTTTTGCACACTGGAGTTCCAAAACGGTTGCAGACATAAAAGAAGGCGAGATTGTAGAAGAGTCTGTTCAAAATGGGACTGTTAAGCATCAATTTAGAACTGAGTATGCAATTTGACATCTCTGCAGAATTCACTCGAGATTTTATCCAGTGCTCCAATAAATCTGCCCCGCATACTTCCAAGTCGAGCTCGGCGGTGACCTTTAGTATTCTCTTTCCGATAAATTGGAACGAACTGTAACTAATTAGATCGATTTTCTGCTAGACAATCAGCAATTTGCGGCGCTGTCTCCCCTCCATGATAGAAATTACCTCTAAATGTTTTACGGCTTGATCTGCACGCTTGTGGACACCTTATTATTTTTGCTGAATTATTTACCACGGACGTGCTTATTTAAAGGGGGGTGGATTTCCTACAACTGCGTCTGTCTTACTTCTGTCGAAAAAATTACTCCCATGGAAAGCCTTTATTTTGTTCCTGTCTTGAATATTTAGTTCAGACTTTTTAATGAGCCTTTCAGAATTCGCCCCCAAGTGGATGTGAAATTATGTTACTGAGCCCGTCCGGCCCATTGGCGGCAAAGGTTTCTCATCGTAATTTTTGTGATAATTGTGAACATCACCTTATCTCGTGACTGTAGTGTTTTTGTTCTACGTACTCTTTAAGGAAAAAAAAGATCAATGAGTAAAAAAAAATATATTGTAAGAGATCTGCCGAGATGGCTGCATCTAGACGACGGCATATTATTTCCTCCACTGATCCTAACCTTAAGCCCCGCCTATGGCACAAGGTGCGTATTCATTTTCCTTGTAACTTTGTTCGCCTTTCAACGGTCGTGTCTTCTGATGTTGCCGACAATCGCCCTTCAAAAAAAGTCTCCCATCTTATCTAGTCTGGTTTAACTGTTAATTAACAACAGCACGAGCGATTTTCTACCATATCGCTGTCAAGTGGCAGACGACACCAGGTTGAGCCGCCATGATGCGCCGATCGTCTGCTCAGATACAGATGAAACCTGATTGAGCGGACGTGTCTGGTACCGTGTTTCAAATGAAAACAGACGTTGCGATACTTTCCAAGCAGTGGGGTTGAAAATTGTACCATGTTGCGTCATTTGTTATTTTTTATCCCGGCGGAATTCTAGACCACATCTAACCTAGTGAGATCAACCGCATGAGTAAAAGCGAACTATAAGTAGACAAACATGCATTGCTACGTGCGATATTTTATTTCTAGAAATTAGACCAATTAAAAAAGCTACAGAAACAACCATGTAGGCCCTATCTTAAGATCTCTTAAAACCATACAACCTGATTAAACAAACTTTATATTTGAAAAAAGAGAAAGAAAATGAAACAAAACAGTATTTATTTATTTTCCAACAAGACCTGAATTAGAAAACTAAAGATATTTCCAATGAAAGAAATAAACTGCCTTCAGTGCCTTTACCAGGGAAACTCATTTTAACAAGTATCACAAAACAAACCTAGTAGAGACGCTCTCCCCGGCGAATAATTAAGAACCAGAATATACCCTGCTATGTCAGACGGTATCTCCTTATAAAGCCACCGCAGCTAGCGTGTGGAAGTAACACTTATCTCCGATACTGCGACCCCATCTTTCAAGCTTTCACGAAGTTCGGTGTAATTTTCAAAATCGTTTTTGGACTAGATAGATAATAGGAAAGTTAAATGAGATGGTCTGTAGGGCGGAAGAATTGATTCGTCGTAAAGTCGTTTTAGAAGAGACGAAGTGGGGGTAATTTTATGGTATGCCGTCCATGAAAACCGTGTTGAATTTTTTTTTATTAACGCAATCGTTCAACATTATCAGTGGCAGTCGCCATTCATCAACACTGACAACATACTGAACTAAAGTTCGCAACCGCCGCCATTTCATTTAAAAATCACTATTTTCGACCCACGCAGAACGACTATGGTGATTTAAAATCGTTTCATGTTGTATTTAAACCGTAAAAGTTAAAGTGCATCTGCTGGATTTTTATGCTTGGGAATAAAACGCATGGCTGAGAGCGTTGTTAGCTGCAACTGCACTTAATGGCGACCACTTGACTGGGGACTATTTTTTCATCGTCTGCGAGAGAACCGCTGATGTGGTCGCCATTGCCATTCCTGTCGTTTTCCCCTGCAAGTGCCTTGCTAAAAATTGTCCTGGTATGGAACTCTATCTGTTTACTATTGCCAAATCTGTACGGTTTAGGAGTAAGCCTGTTGTGTTCTGTTTCAAGCATGACAAACAATTGATTACGTCTGTGTTTGTCGGCGCAGGGTTCAAACAAGGCAAACAAGTCAATTTTAGAGGAGACTTTCGAAAAGATTTCAGCAGACGCGATCAGACAAGGTTTGCACGGATCTGAACCATTTTGGTGTCCAAAACGCAAACAACAAAATGACACCTCGGTGTCACGGTCTCGGATCGGCGTTGTGCTTAAATCGTCGTAACAAAATGAGATTGTAGTCCTATGTCATCTTTTTTTTTCACTGTCAACATCTTTTAATTTTCACCTTCAAATATTGCGATGATTAATTACTTTAGTTCCATCGGAGCAAAGTTGAATTTTGAAGATCAGAATCTTTTTGATCGACTGCCTTTGCACGGTGTTTCAGACGAAATGTTCAGATAATACTTTGTACAAAGTTGAAACTGATACTTAAAAACTATTTGTGGTAAAAAAACCTTTATGATTGGAGCGTAGGCCTACCTAGAAACTTGCTTGGTCTAGAATACCGTGAATCATTCCAAGTCAATTAATTTTTTGTCCGTTTTCATTTCTAGGGAAATCATTACCCATAGCTCACACTTATCAACATTTCATTGATATTAATAGCCCGTTATGATGTGGGTTGGGACCAATAAAAATAAAATGAAATCGGTGAAGATATAAAACTAATATATAAACGAAATATGACACACACTTCGCAACAAAAACAATTGTTAACCATCGTCATTGAAAGAACGGGCATGAAACGCATTCGACGAACCTACTGGGGTTTTTGTTTAAAGTAAACTGGTCCCTTAATCACCCTCAGTATCACGTTGCAAGCGCTGTGTAGAAACTGGATGACATCTATATATCTCTGATCTATAGGGGAGTTTTAACCTAAACACCTACGGTAATACATGGCTAGCGTGTGCTTATGTGGTTAAAATGTCCCCTCGGACGTCCTGGTTGACTGGTAGTTCATTCAATTTGTCAGTCTGTCTGGGCTATCAAGATTGTGACCGTCTGTTAAACGCAGAGGGACGAGAGCCTGCGTTCTGTAGGTGAATGACACCCTGGTGTCACCGATCCACGGATATACGTTAAAGCGGAAATGCTGCCCCGGCCACGCGGTCTGACAAACGCCCATTTTCCATTTACATAAATTTCAATTCCATTTCAAAGAGACATCAAATGGGAACGATTCTTGTTCAAACTCCCTAATTTGATAATGGCATTCTTTTGTCTTGCCTAGATTTATGCGACGTCGATGTAATTCAATTTACTTCCTTTCGGGACTGAATGCAAATTAAGCGAATTATCAGCATTTCTGCAAATCGTAGATTTCTCTAAGTACTTTTTAACGGCCGCAAAAGACACGCTAAGTTATACTGAATAACGGTAATGGTTTGCTGAAAAGACGGCAATTTTCTCTTGTGACAGAACTAGTTAATGGTCTTGAGCAAATGCGAATTAGATGTGTTCAGATTTTTTTCTGAGTTTAAGACCACGGAGAAAAATATAGGCCTAGTGAATATTTGCTGGTTGATAAAGATTGATACAGAAATCTTTTCAAATATTTTAAATTTTTTATTCTTAAGCCAGCAACACTCAAGATTTTTATCATCTATTTTTTCAGAAGCAAAGCAAGACCAAAGAGACGGCAGTTCGTTACTTTTTCCTTCGGAGGAGAAAGCTCACGAAAAGTCCAACCACCCTTCCATAGAGAGAGAACTCTGGTTTAAAGCCGCGGTTATAGCCGTGCCAATAGCTGGCGGATTTATTCTTATAATGCTCGTACTTCTTGCAGTGCGCATGCTCAAACACGACGCTAGCCGATTACGTCACCGGAAGTTGCGTCATCATCACAAAACTTTGACAAAAGCTCAACTCTACGTCGCAGATCACTTCTACGACCATGGGAATAAAAATGCTCATTTCAACAACGCCATGTTAGGAAAGCAAAACAAAATATACAAAGATGTTCATATAAAAATTGATCCCGAAAAGACAGATTATGAGAAATTAAAAGGGAGCGGGAGTGGAAGCGACTCTGACGCTCGAAGCTCTATCGTGATATGGGGCGCGCAGCCCCAGAGCACAGAGAATTTAACTGTTGTATAGCTGTAAATATGAACTTGTACATTGGTGTAAATAATTCTGTATGAAACCTGTTTCAAAAGACGTTGTATGTTGTTAAAAAACGAGTACCGTGTCCTCGTTTTGTGTATTTATGAGTAAAGATATGATCTATTTATTATTGCCAATAAAAACAGATCTTACTGTTTAATTTAAACTTGAAACCAGGCATATGTTGTTTGATTTATTGTTTCAATTATTCCTCCGCGTTTAAGTTCATTTAAGTCACTGTTTGTACAGAATCGGGTGGTTTTTGTCACGTGTGGCCGGGAGCTTATTATTGAAATCTGGAGATTAAAAAGAAGTCTCTTGAGACGTACGAGCGTATATAATGTTGAATGTCCCAAGTTAAGTCGTGATATGAAAGAAAAGTGACAGCATAATGTTTAAAGATGTGTTCTGATGCTTTCTAGAAATATTGCTATCCGCGCAATATATTTGAAAATTCACTTTGTGGTGTAGGCCTACACACGTATTAGTTTTGAAATAAGCGTTATGTCGGTACGTTTCAAATAATGGATCTGTTGATGTGAAAAAAAAAAAAAAAAAAAAAAAAAAAGAGGGGGGGGGGAGAAAACAGACAAAGAAAAAACTGATGCATCAATTTTTCTTCTGGAATTGGGTGAGTCTCTTTGTCCCTCTCGCTAAGCCTCTTTCAGTGGCTCCAAACATGATTTGTCACAATGTAGGCCTACTGAACAACCCTTGATGTCTTGCAAATTGAAATTTTAGGCCTAAGTGAACAAGCGTAGAAGGGGACAACCGATCTCTCTCTCTCTCTCTCTCTCTCCTAACACACCTGGATTTACATGTACTTCCCCTCAGAGCGGCGCACTTCAGTATCGATCTTCTAATCCGTCACAGAACGTGCAGCCAGGGTCCTCCAGGAACGTAAACATGTCCATATAACTATAAAACACTAGAGACTATAGATACAACAACGCTCTTTAGATTAGTCACAAATAGACGTGTTTTATCAGGCAGACGAACGGTATCGAAGTCGTAAAAACGTCGCCATGCTGCGTAGACGCTGCAAATAACAGGAAAACAGCCCCAAAGCGGCGCGTTCTTTGGTAAACACAGGTAAACAACAAGGATCTGGTCGCCGAGGTTCTTTGATAGAGTAAATGCAGGGAGAAATGAGATGAGATGAGATGAGAAGAGATGGAGGCATAGAAAGTGGAAAATTTGGAAGAAATTCCACATTTGAATCAGAATTTCAATAAGTGTTGGAACCTTTCTTTTAGATGAAAAGTAGACAAAGCAATCGCGCCAGATTACCAGTTTCAGAATAAAAGTTTCTGACTCATTTCGCGGTCCACTGAAGACGCCGCTATTTCTGTTCCTTTTAAGTGAAAGTAACATTAATAAAATTAATGCCGTTCTTGTGTCTCACGGTCCACTGGCGCGGTTTCAACCCTGCCTCGTCACGCAAGTGGAAAAAGCGAAAATAAAAGAATTAATTGTTTTTCTGTTTTTCCCACTGTGCTTAAAAAAGATTTCAATTTTTTGTCGAGTGCTATTTTATTTGTTATACCGGCTAGCGCTTTTCCTATTTGTGGGCTATGTCCGCCCCCTATTTCTCTCTCTCTCTCTCTGTATGTGTGTGTGTGTTTGTATTTGTTAACAACTGTTCGCAGTTTTGTCTGTATAACACTGCGTTTCAATTTACCTCCAGAAAAGCCGAAATTAGGAAGACACTTAACCAAAAGAAGGAAAAAAACAAAAAACATGCCAGAGATGGGCTCGGCCTTGATACTTCTTTGGTCACATAAAACACACCTTGGCATCTTAGGCAGAAGTCAATTTACTCTGAAAAAAAAAAAAGATATTAACTGTTAATAGGACGAACGCCAAGTCAAGATTTAATGGTACTGACTAAAAGCCCCTCTTTACGGCTAGGCTACCCAGTTTGTTCTCACGACATGCTAACATTACACAGATAAATGTGTCAGTATCCATCACACACTCCGACTGCCCCCCCTTTTCTTTACGTGTGGACCGGTTACCTGTATAAAGCTTGGGTCCACTTACCTATGATAGCAGAGATAAAAAAGTTAAGAGACTTTTAGGCCGACATCCAATCTGCACTCTCTTGTCCTGCAGACGACTAAGGAGTTCCGTTTTCAGTCCACAAGTTGTCAGTGAGACAAAGAAAAAGCAGGCATTTGAAGTCTGTATAGTTTCTTTTTGTGTTGTGTGGAGGCTTGGTTTTTGATGACACATGGAGGATTGCGTTTGGAATGTGACATTTTGTAAGGTAATGGTGAAGCTGCGCATTCTTCAGTAAGCCCCGTGTTGAGGGAGGAGTGGGAAGCAAATTGTGCTATGGACCCACCTAACACAATGACCACAATCTATCTATCTTTCTATCTATCATAAGTAAATAAAATACATAATGCTAACATGAGTTAATTTTTTTATTTAAGCAACTAATTAATTGAAAGAAAGGTCTTTGAATCGACCAGAACTATTTTAGAGCATATTTATAAGGCTACTTTAAAACTAACATATTTTGAAAAAACAAAGCAAGATAGTCTCTGTTTCACTTGGCAAAAATATATAAAGAAGAAAACTGACGTAGCTGGAAAGTTATGCAAATATTTCCAGTACAAAATATTTAAATTAAATTATGTGGTCTAGTCCTATAAAGTTTGTGTTGTTTAGTATTCTAATGGCAATTTCTGTTCTATGTGTATTAATGTGAATGGTAGGCCTACAGTCCTTTGCATTTGTGTGGCAACTTCATTTATATTAGTTATTTATAATTATAAACCGTTTTTTTTCTTTTTGTGAGGTAGGTAATATGATATTTTCCGTTTAGTCTGATCTGTTAGCAAATGTGCTGTTTTAATACGTTCATTCTTTTGTATGTTTATGTGCTAGTTTGACGACATAAAAAAACATGGCAGACGAAACAGTTTCTACGAATGTTTTCATTTTCAAGAAAACAGATTTGTAATATCGAGCGAGTAGAAGGAACCGATATTAGTTTTACGCTCAAATATTCGTTGGTTGGATAATTAATTAAAACGGATGAAGGAATGGAAAATGACATCACATTCCGGGCACATTACAGGGGCGTAACCAGGCATACGCACGGATGCACTGTGCGTACAATTTTTGAGCCAACCATGATATTATTCTCCATAAATTCAGTGTATTTTTCACGCAATATAATCCTGGGAATTTTCAAAATATGTGCGTACAATTTTAAAAGGTCTAGTTACGCCCCTGCATTAACTTGTTTAAAACTCATCTGGCCGAGACAAATCTACACTTTGAAGGGTCCTTCCAGTTTAATAGACAGAAAACGTAGACCTGCCCGACGTATATGGCCTAAAACAATGCATGCCTAACCTTAGTTACTTTGGTTTCGGGGAGAATTTATTAAAAAGGAGCGTGGACTGCAAATCAAGCACTGAAATACGAACCGGCTTCTTTCCACTGCTCTCCTAACCCTCGCCTCGTTTTCTTTCCACGGGAAAAAAAGAGGGCTTAAAAATTACCATACTAAACTCCACACTTACATCACAATTACATTTTATTATAAACCATTAATTGATACACAATTACATTACATACCATAATACAGTAAACCGTTTTTACAATGACAATCTCCATGTCAACATTTGAGCAATATAACTGATACTTTATGTACATTATAATATTTTAAAAGAATACACAAAAGCAGACTCGGTATGCCTGATGACGCCCTTGTGACAAGATAAAAATGTAGCCGTTTCACTAATCATTTGTTTCTAAAGTGGGTGGTTAAAATCACTAAAACATTCGTAAAAAGATAATAATGTCAACTGATGTACTTTTTCATAGTATTAATCTAGTTTAAATGCATTGTATTTATTTTTACACGACAGAACACAACTAACTTCACTTGGCAAATAAGTAACTATACGTTGAGGAATTGGATTTCAGTGGCACTTTGGCGTAAGAACGGTATAGCTGATTAGGTGTTCGTTAGGTTAGAGGTGTACTTATGAAGAAAACTAAGGTTTATTTCAATCACACAAGATGATCTTAATTACTAGTATTAAATGGATTGCAAATAAAAGAAATCGTCATGCCTTCAGATGCCTTCTCCCTTCCTGGATGGTAAAAGAAACCATACTAGAAATCAAAATGATCTTGGACCTCCAATAAACAAACAAACAAATAAATAAGCAAATAGATAAAAATAAATAATAATTAAAAAAATTAAATAAAAAATTGAAGACAATAATAATAACCATCCTGTCCTTTCCTCCCAACTTTAGACTGAACTCTTCCCACAAACGTACATCTGCCCATGACATGTTGCAGGGAGTAACCTACACTAAGCACCAGGATTACTATAACAACAACTAGTTAACATCCTATACAGCACCAGATATAGTTATAAAGTAACAGTAACATGTGTCATCAGTTACCAATATCAGTCCATTGCCAACTGGGACTCTGGGTAGCACCATTTGATTATTTACAAGTGATCGATACATTGTTACAATTACAATGGTTCACTATTTACAATGCACCAATATCTTACCAAACATATAGACAAAAACTTACAAAGTTTAAGAGAGATAAACTTGAGACTTTTTTTTGTTCTGAAACTTGCAAATCAACTGTGGATTTCTTCAACCCTATATGACACAATCTTCCCCATTCAGTCACAACTAACACATTCAATCAAAGATTTCTTCATGTTCTTTTTCCCCAAAGAGTTCAGTTTAACTGATCATTTTTGAATACTCTTATATAGGGGGATTCCATGAAATAGTTACTTTTAACATAACACACATCTGAAGTAAATTTATCCTCCGAGATTGGGATTTAAGATTTAGGACTTTTTTTTGTTTTCCAACAATCAAGTATAATATCACATGATGTTTTCCAGTCAAATGATTTAGCCATTTCTTTTATCTCTCAATTTTCCTTATGATAACTTATGTGTCTAAAGTGACAGAAAGAGGTTTTTGCCTTCTGTTTTTTGATTTTTCAATATGGTGGATAATATGGTGGATAATAATCTCCCACAATGCACTGCTCCAGGCAGACAAGTAAGGGAATTAAGAGACCATTCCCATAGATTATGGAACTAACTTTTGATCGATCTATCTACAAGGGGGTTTGCACTAAATTGCTATCAACTTCAGCAGCTTAGATGTCCCGCACACCCACTGAAGCTCTTAGAGGGCAATTAAATATCATTTAGGGGCTTTAGTAGCCATGCCAGACAAAGTAGCCGTTTACGCTAAAAGCAATTTGGCGAGAAACCCCTTGGAGATGGGTCTATCCAGTTATATTGCTCTAGGTATGGGAACCCAGTCTTAGTTTAAAATGGCATGCCTGCAAAATAATATGCCCCCTACTCCCTTCGTCTTTTTGTGAGAGTGTCAAATTTGGAAATTCCTGAACCTGGTCACACCAACAGCCTACAGTCACTCTGTATGGACTGTTCCACGGACACATCCTCCATATCACGCACTGAACTATCCTCGCTACTTGTCCTGGAACTGACTGTCTGTAAATTTCCCGCTTTGTCGCAGGCTTTATAATAATGCGCCTGATGCCGTTTGAGCATGTAAATGGTGAAGATGATGATAGCTAGGAGAGAGCACACACCCACTGTTGGAACAGCGATGTAGACAGGGTTGATGTTGTGAAATCTAACAGAGTGGGCGTTCTCAATGTGGTGAGTGTTGAGGTCTGAGGTATAGATGTCAGAGGCCACTGTTACCTGGGCACTTGTATCTGAAATAAAAATGAATTATTTATATTCAAATTTATTTATTCATTCATTTATCTATATATTTATTTATTCATTCATTTATTTGTCAATTATCAAAGAAAATGACATTTTACATATAGGAATTGAAAAAGAAAAGCTTAAATATATAAATTTTGAAAGTGTAAAATCAACCATGGTATCCTCCATTGTTTACATTTCATAATTGTTTTTTTTTTTAAATCTTTTTAATCATGAAATACTAATATATACAGGAATACAGACTGAGGTTACAAACAATGTTATTACTTGATTACAAGTATGAATGAAGCTTAGAAGTAGCCTAAATAAATAAATAAATAAATAAATAAATAAATAAATAAATAAATAAATAAATAAATAAAAAGGTTGATTTGATTTTATAAACCTTGTATTAACATGAATGACCTTGAAAAAAAACTCTTTTCAGGAGTATGAAACCATCTATAACAGGAATATTTTAAGTCCATTTTACTTGTGTATTACATTTACCTCAAATTATTAGAGCAATTAAGGTGTTTTCACAACTTCACTAAGATTCTCGAGTACTTCTACAACTTGACTTTTAAGTCAAAACAAAGTGTTATATGGAATAAATAGAAATCTTTTTAAATTCAAGAACAAGAACACAGAGTTCATCTACAACTTTAAAAAAAAGTAAAGAAAAAGAAACTACTTCAAGAATGGCATCTCATTCCATCTACTGCCATTAAAAATGCAATATCCTTTTCTGCACAAAGGACAATTCATTGAGTGACACTCTATCCCTAGCCCTAACCTGATCTTATCCTCAGCCCAAACAAGATCCCTTACTCATTCCTAAGTAGATCTGTCAATTCCAATTGGAGTTTTGTTTAAAAAAAGACTGCCAACAGTTGTGAGGGTTGGGGAGAGCAAAACGGAACAAGGTTGGAAATCAACAAAAGGGATATCAGTTTAGATGATTTTAACTCATGCCAAATGTCAGAGGGGGAAATATTCACTCCATGTATTATTCCCACTGGGATTCTGTACTCATTTTATCGAATTTCTAGGATTTGCTCTCTTCAGGTGACTACAACTACTAATATTTGGCACTTAAAAATCACTAAGGAACTGTTGAAAAAAGAGGAAGCAAAATTATTTTAAAGGTGAAATGTTATTCTCTTTTTGTTTCTCCCTCCCTCTCTCTCTGCGTGTGTGTGTCCGTCACTATTTCAGCAGCATTATCTAACCAACAACACAAATAACACATCAATTCAGAGATTATGCTTTTTTACATATGCTCAAAACTGATTTCTGACAAAAACAACCTCAATGTAATCAGCATTTTGGTAAATAATATAACTCTTAGATCTTCAGTGAAAAATCATATCACTGAATCTGAAGTAAAAAAAAGGGAGAGAAAAAGAAAGAGAGAGAGAGAGAGAGATATCTATTTATCCCTGAACAAAAAAGGGACTGACATCGAGAAATACTTCCAAGAAACTTACTGTTATCATCCCTTGGGGCTTCAGGGGGTAAAACTTCTTTATTACATCCATTAGTAAAACAGCAATGTAGCACTGGCCAGGGACCTTTATATCCTAGAGGGCGCCGGTTCTCACACAGTAATGGCGTTGGATCATTAATGCAGCCTCGGAGTATAGGTGGCGTGGGGCCGTCATCTTTATCGACTGGAAGATGTTGGACATAACAACTGTGTTCTGCCAAACATGTGGTCTTCTGCTCACGGCTGCAGTCCGCCGTCGTACATTCACACTGGATGGATGCTGAAGTAAAATAATATTAAATTGTCAATAGTGTTCCATGTTGGTGGTAGTTGCATAAGTATAGGGCAGTATATTCATCACTTTGTCTTTTGCTTAAAGACAAAATGATTTATATATATTTAAAATGAAAAAAAAAGTGCTGAAATGATTTCATACATGGTGCCTTTAACATTTTTATGAGTGAAAAAATTACACAGCTGGAGAACCAATTGTGAAACAGGATATTGAAAAAAAAATCAAATAATTTCAAATATATATATTTTTTTGAAATACGTCAGAGGGTTATCATATAACAACAGCTTATAATATATAAAATTATAATACACTTCAATGCAATGTGGGTAATCTCCCATGCCAAAATAATGTTGCCACGCACACTGTATATAAAAACTCTTTCATAATGTTTAAAAGTTTATACATGTCCTCAGATGATCTCAATAAACACAATCTGTGTACGAGAGAGAGAGAGAGAGAGAGAGAGAGACACACACAAAGTCACATACAGAACAGGGGATAGAAATGAAAAATATTAACATTACAAAAAGAAATAAAAGCACATAAACTACCCATACAAACACACACCTGAAATCCTGCACAGTTTAAAAAATGTCAAAGTGTCATTACAAAAAGACCCCCACCCTGTCTAATCTGGACTCCCAGCTTAAATCTTAACAATTAAACATAGTGAAATATTTCTCTTTCGATTGGCACCATTTCCCAGAAGGCAGGCTTTTCAGCATCTGACAACCCCCCAAAAAACCTTATGAATGTGGCAGCTTTAAAACTATTTTCCAAGATTCATGGTCCACTCTACCAAGGAGTCTAAAAGCATAAATTTTCAAAATAAGATTTAAAGGGCAATCATCCTTTGTAAAACAACAAGCTAGTACGATATCTATCAATTTCCAGGATGAATTCCTCATGTCATAAATACCCTCATATTTCTTCCATTAACTCACTGCCAGCCACCTGAAGGTAATATTGGGATAGTCCCAATAATTCACAGGCAACGGGGAAAGGCATTACCAAGCACAAGCAACACACACTGCAGCTGCCCCTGATGTATTCACAGGTTTCACATACATCACTGGTTCCCTGTGATCATTCAATTATTTCACTGTTTCTATCAGAACAGAGCAAGAACACCTTAATTTAGCAGTCGAACAGCCAAATACATCTTTTTACTTACTTCCTCCTTGTTTTTTTTTTGCTTTATGTTTACTGCTACGTCATGTAAGTAGAAGGCATAAAATCAATTATCCACTCGGTCAGAAATTTTTCACTTTAAAAAACAAACAACCAACCAAACAAAAGTTTATTGCATTCTCTTAGGAAGGTGGTCAGCAGCAACCTCCTCTTTGACAGCAAATAAGTTAATCATTAAAAATATCAATTGCCTGCTTGGTGACATCACATTAGACCAGACCAGCTCTTGTGAACAGCTAGTTCTCTTGATAGAGGATGCATGATATTTCTTGACCTTTTACATTCCTTTTACTCTCTTTACCTTATTAAAGGCATACCTGTGGAGATATTGGTCTCAGCACTTAAGTTATAGTAGCCAGGTGTTTAAGTATTTTATTTCTGAGGCATGTTTAAAGCTTAGCTAACTTAGACCACATTCAGAATAATCAAGGGACTAACTAGTCTGAGGGTCAAATATGGCCGACCCACTTGAAAACTTCCCCACGGGGAATCTATTCAGTGTCTATTAACAGATTAGATGGCAAGCTTTGTAGTGGGTTGCCATATTTGACCCTCGGATTAGTTAGTCCACTGTTCTGAATGAGCCCTTAGACCAGAAATTGTCTATTAACTGATATCACCAGTTTACAGTCAGATTATGGAGGGACCAGGAGTAGAAGCCCCTGCCATCCCCCTCCACCCCCCCCACCCCCCACTCCTGACACTGATTGGGCCTATGACTAGTCTATAAACCCCAACAGAAGCAATGTGGTCACTGTTGTTGTCAGTGTTAACCTTGGTGTCTAACATTTTATGACCTATCAAAAAGAAACAAAAACAAGTGAAATCAGTGTCAAAGTAGCAATATAAGTCCTGATCAAATATGCTGATTTTATTAACAGATATATTCACTTGCTCGCTTCAAAGCATGATCTTGAGCTACTTTTCGTGTATCCCTTACTCTTCCTTTTCATTCTTATGGTATATACTTTACATTTCCCCTTAAACTTCTAGAATTGAGGTCAGTTTTAAAGGCTCCTTCAGAGCAGAAATTGGCCTCTACATCCAAGAAAAGTAAGCAGTGCTGCGCCCTGACCCGAGGAACGGTTATGGTCCTTACGCACATGTAGAGAAAACACGTGTAGCCAATAGCTAACACTTTGCACAGCCATTTTTGTTTCCTGTTTTTATCTAACGGGGGACTAAATTATTGCCCAGATCAAAAGCTATCAAATTGCCGGCACATGTAATGTGTGGTGAGGGAATTGAGTTATCAATGGCTGACATTCCAGGAACAGATGTTCTTATCCATCCTCTCATTATAGGGCTTCTCAAACTGAGGAAGTGAGTGAAGAAAGAGGAAAAAGATGAAAAAAAAAAGAAAGAAAGAAAGAAAGAAAGGCAGGTTGGGTGGGGTGGGGGGGGGGGGAGGGGGGGTAGTATATGTCAAGGCAATACCCAAGTTTTCTTAACCAGAATGAAAACTGTGCAATCAAACTCTTGATCTGTGGCCAGAAATGAAAACATTTAAGGAGCTGCCTGATGTTTTTCACATTCACCTCCATGATTTTTCATTTAAACTTTTTATATGCCACACATGAGGTTCACAATAACAGGCGGTAACATTTTTGATCCTGAAGGAATGCCTTGTGTTTACCATCACATAATTCACCGTAAAAGCCGTGCATACACGATGTCATTTAAAAACCCAACATGTTGAAATAAAACATAGCTCGGGGCAATATGACGTAACTACGATGTTTCTCGCCAGTCCGTACCAGTGAAATTATATTACACTCAGAAGGGAAAAATTGCAAACTTACAGCAACCTTAATGTCTCAGTTAGCCATCGTCATGTTTTTTTACACGGAACACATGCATGGGTTCATTGATAAAAATTACCCAAATGTGCCGTACATGTTACAGCAGTGAAAAACAACCATCCTGTTTTTGTGGAGAGAAAATTTAGAGACCAGAGCAAAAAGTGGTATCAAATTATTTCATAATTTTTCTGAAACACAGATCATTCCTTTAGATTTATATAATTACATTCATTTAAAATTTCTCTATTCTATGTTTAAAATTAAAATCATCCCAAAAACAAAATTGACTTCAAATATTCCACTTTTTAAGTTCAAAAGAGGGCGTATGGCAGACAAATACACAACTGCTGTGACGATTATGTACAATAAATATTTATAAATATATCATACATTATTTAAAGACACCATTGATTCTGCTCTTAAAACATGTTTCAGTAAATTTTCATGAATTAACATGGTTTATATCATATCAATTAGTGTAATGGCAAATACTTGTAATTTTTTACGTACATTTGCGTTCATTTCACTATAGAACCTTTGGACCAAAAAAACCCTTGATTAAAAAACTGATGAAAATGTGAAATATTTCATACCAATGAACCTTCGGACCAATGAACCAAATGGTCTGTTGCGATGCCCCCTTACCATCCTACATCTCTCCAAACTTAAAGTCGGTATATAAAACTTCAGTGTTTTAAATATATGAATGCTAGCTACATTAGTATAATTACTTGCGATTGATTTCGCAAGTCAATTCTTCGTTTGGTGAGTTTGTCTTCCATTGTATTTCTTTTAGACTTTGGTTTCTTAAATTATGAAATTCAATGCAAAACTAGGTAGTTCAGAGGAGAATGACACAGTATTGTGGTCTTTTGTGTGAACTGAAAATAAGGCTGATTTTGTCATCAATACCTGGACATAGCATTTAACTTTAACATTTTGTAACCTGTTGCTGAAGTAATTCTGTTTTTATTTTGGGTGAGGTTAAATAGCACTGGCTGACATACAATGTACGTGGAAATAATCAAAGAAACCATGTTCTCTATTGTCCTCAGTATTGAAATGTAGAAAGTAGCAAGTTGTGATGTTCTGATAACAGTAAATCTTTATGTCAGTCATTTTTTTTTGTTCACTCGGTGAATTTGCTCTGAACATTAATCACTATCCATTAGTGACATGCATGTAAATTGTTGTTCATTCATTGTAGTCAATAAATAATGCTAGTTGTCTACATGGTTTTGCCATTTGTGTGGTAGGCAGCTATCATAACTACACGTGTACGGTAATAAATATTTTATACTACTGTCATCATGACTCAGGATAATTTTCTGTTTTTTCGACTCTGTGTTTAATTCTTCTTCCCAAAATGGTAAATGCAGTCAATTATGTCATTCACAGCAAATAATTCAGACTACAATGAATAATCTGAGAAAGTAGCACAATGAAGATGCCACTGTAAATCCACTCTGGATTCAGTTGATTTTTCAAGGACTTGAAAATGGCAGGTGAAATATGAGAAAGTTCAAACATATTCTTAAAAACAGATGGGGGCTTAGTTTGAAAACTGAGTAATGCATACTACATGCATACTATTTTAATAATTAAAACTGCCAAGTTCTTTCTGATTGAACTTAATTACATATGCTGCTTTCTCTTTCTCTCTCTCTGATAGTCTAGGTTCTCATTTTTGTTATTGTGGCTGTCTCCACACCAACTCGATTTCTTTTTCCTTCCAAAAACAGGCCTATGTTGAAAGACGTCACTTAAATATATTTTATCTCTGTAAATTGCCCTTATAAATAATTGATGCTGTCTCCAAAACAAAATCTAAATTTGTGGGGATAATGGAAAATGCAGTTAAGTATTGCCATACTTAGAGACCATAGATCATTTAAAATTATGAGGCGGCATAGTGGTAATAAATGAACAGGGTGGAGGCAGATCATTATATATATCCCGGATAAACCAAAATTATGATGCTTTTTGCAAGTC